TAACGTCTCGCCAAAATTACAATGTTCGGTTAGCTTACGCAATTCCGCCACGTATGCCGCAACTCCTTCGTCTTCGTTTCGATTTCGGCTATGAAATTTATAACGCTCCACTATCTCACTTGGCTTCGGTGAAAAGTGCTTCTCAAGTGTGTCGACAATCTTCTTAAAAGTTGTCTCCGCTGGCTTCGCTGCTTGAAGTAAATCCCTCGCAAGTGCGTGCGTTTTACTCCCGCAAACACTGAGTAGAATTGCTCGGCGTTTCGCCACATCTTCCACCTCATTCGCTCCACATACTGGGTCCATGATTCTTCTGATTCTTTGAATTCGCCTATTTTTCGGTAGGTCGCCATTCCTGTACGAATCTAGAATTAAATGTCTCGTCGCCAAATGTGATGACCAGCCACGAGTGAATCCAAACATACACTAATTTATTGAGTAAAGAGCGAATACATCACGTGATCATAGAGAAATGCCAATCACAACAGTGGTGCTTTTGATATTCATAAAATGACTGGTAAAATTCCCAGACCAAAGGGTGGTTGGACACCTGGAAAGTACAAATATATCGGCCCATACAATCCACTGGACAAACAGCATATGACAAAAACACTGGTGAGGTAGTTGAATGGTATGTACAACCATACAACGAAGTTGATGAAATTGCCGCTTATCATGACATTTGTTATGATATAGGAAAAAACAAAGGTGATTGTGACCGACAAATGGTTCAGTCATTGGATGAAATCCCTTATGGTGAAAAGCCAAAGTGAGGTGAAACAGCACGATTTTTAATCAACAATAAACAAAAACTTGGTCTGGGAAACGGAAAAGGCCGTCGATTTGGCAAGAAAAATTAGCGGATGAATTACATAAACCAATAAAACGTAACTTCACTCGACGACGTGTAATTGTAAATCATATTGATGAGATATGGTGAGCTGATTTAGTTGAAATGCAACACTTTGGTAAATGGAATAAAGGCTATAGATATCTACCCATGGTTTTGGACACATTCAGTAAATATGGTTGGATTGTCCAGTTGAAGGATAAAAAAGGTGAAACTGTAAGTGAAGCGTTCAAAACCATCTTCGAGGAAGGTAGAAGACCACAATAGTTATGGGTTGATAAGGGTAAAGAATTCTATAACAAATACCTAAAGGACTTTATTAGAAAAAATGGTATACAGATGTGTTCCTCTGAGAATGAAGAAAAATCATCTGTTTGTGAAAAATGGAACAGAACAATAAAAACCAAAATGTGGAAGCAGTTTACTGTTCAAGGTAATACACAGTATTTAGACATACTACCCGAAGTATTAAAACAGTACAACATTACCAAACATGGTTCAATAACTAGTGAGACAATCTCAGATAGTGCAGAGCGCAATTGATAGCTCTGATACAGTAGTCCCATAAGTACTCACCCCTGCTCGGTTCACTTCCGGTTTGTGTCTACCTTGGTAGTCTGCTACGGCTTTTCCCCTTTGCAGTGTGTATGTTTCAAGGTTGTATTTTCATTCAAGGTCCAAACATTACGCACAAATTAATTACTACTGTTGCTTTAAGTTGATTTTCGTTCATTTTAAATTCAACAATACGCTGAAGCAGCAAACGTGACAATTTAGCT